AGCAGACCCCGTGTGAGTTTGCTAGGGCTGCCGTAACAAAGAACCACACACAGGGCAGCTTAAAGGGACCGACATTTACGGTCTCACAGTTCTGGGGATGAGAAGTCTGAAATCAAGGTGTCGGCAGGGCCACGCCGCCTCTGAAACCTGTAGGGGAGAGTCCTTCCTCACCCCTCTCTAGCTTCCGGTGGTTTGCCAGCAGCCCATGGTGTCCCTTGGCTTATAGCTGCAGCATTCTGGTCTCTGTCTCTGTCATCGTATGGTGTTCTCCCTACATGTCTGCCTACACATGTCACCTTTTTATAAGGACATCAGTGATACCAGATCAGGGGTTCATTCTCGTATGAGCTCATCTTCACAAACTGTATCTGCAGTGATGAGATTAGAATTCAAAGTATCTTTTGGGGGAACACAATTCAACTCATGAGAGATACTGCTTTGAACTATTTCTAGACTGGGGGTTTCTGGAGGTGGGAGGCTCACTGGGCCGGCCGATGTGAGCAGGACTCGAAGACACCGTCACACAGACTGCCTAAAAGGAAGGTGGCGGGGTCCATGTACTCCGGCTCTCCATGGCTTTGCAGGGTATAAAGAGAATCCGGGGATTCCTGTGGTCGTGCCTGAGGGAGCATGTGGTTAGCCGAGGACAGGAACCAGGGGCTCCAGGGAAGCCACAGAGCTGCAGAACAGGACATCCAAACCAGAAGTGGGGTGTGCTCCACCGATGAGCCCGCGGGGAGGCTCTGCCGCCCCCTGAGGGATGTTCCCCACCTCAGAGGAAGACAGGGCTAAGCTTACCGTCGCCCCAGGAAAGCCAGGCCCAGGACAAATCCCCCCATTGAGTCAGGGCTGGTGGGGTAAGGAAATCTCTGCCTCCTCTACCCCTCCTTCCTGCCCCCGCCCAACCCCTTCTAGGAGAAAAGGAAGAAGGGTCCCAGACACAGACTGCACCCTCCCGCCCCTGCTCTCTAAACAGCTGGGAGCCAGCGTTCTTGCCAGGCCAGGAAGAGGAAGAAGACAAACATTGCATTATGCTTAAAATTAAAGTTCTGAAAAGTAAGCAGGGGTTGAGTCGTAAATGCTGGAATGAGACTATGCAAATGACTCACAGTGACCGGAAAGTCAGCACCCAGTCAAGGGGTCATCAAAGAAGGCACTAACCACCGGGACAGAGGGGCTACACTGTATAAATAAAATCATCATCGGGTGGGTGTGGGGGGGGATATGCCATTTTAAAATCACTCTCCAACATATTGAGATTTCTCCATCTATCAGCCACAGAGTTTTCCCGAACTCAATCTGTAAACACGGCGCGTGCAGGCTGCTGCCCCCACCAGAGAAGCTGTGCCCTTCGTCGTGCACTTGGAGCCTGAGCTGAGACAGCTGTCCGCCTGCAGCAGAGATGTGCCCGGGTGAGGCAGGTCCCAGCCCTCGTCACTCCAAAGTCAGACACCAAACGACACCGGCAGCAGCACAAAGAGGTTTTTGTCAGCATCCATCCTTAAGGGATCTCAATTCTCCTCCCCTCAGATTGCAAGTGTCAGAAATCAAGGAACTTTCTCCGAGGAGGCAACGCTAAGTAAGGGCTGTCAGGGTAAGGTGCCAGCTCCAGCCTGTATTTCACAGAACCAAGATTTGTGAGTGATACAGACGAGACTGGAAAATGCTCTGGGCAAACAACTCCTTCTTGAGCTTGTAACTCCTTAAGAACAAGGTATCAGCAAAGCATTCTGGTAGGTTCTGTGCAATGGAAATGTGTCAGAAGAATGAACAGGAAGACTTTGTACGCTGCTAGGACTCAACAACAGCAAAGATAAAAACAGCAAACTCACAGTTGTTAAGAACCATACCTAAAGCAAAAGCAAACTAAGAGGACAGCTAGATCAGGAGCAGAACCATAGAAATGAAGATCACATGGAGGGTTAGCAACAGGGGAGTGGGAGGAGGAGAAGGGGGGAGAAGGTACAGAAAATAAGTAGCATAGGTGGCAGGTAGAAAATAGATAGGGGGGAGGGCAAGAATAGTATGGGAAATATAGAATCTAAAGAACTTGAGACACATGGTCATAAACTAAAGGGGGAAATAGTGGGGAGGGGGTGTGCAGGGTGGAGGAGAATGAAGGGGGGAATAGAACAACTGTAATGGCATAATTAATAAAATATATTTAAAAATATTTAAAAATTGCAGGAGTATGTGGTCAAATGATTCAAGTAGAATGAATTCATCACCTTTTTATTAGGAGTCCAGTGGTGTAAGACATAGTGTTATGAACACTTGGGAATACAATGAGGTTGGCAGGGTCCCTGCTCTTAAGCTGGAAATCCAGGAGGAAGGACCTAGAAAAAGTCCCCAAGTAACTCTAAAACAAGATGATATAATATATGCCATAAAAGATCAAAATTAATGGCATAGGATTTTCATAGGAAATCTGGTTGAAAGAATCAGGAGGAGGTAGTATTTGGAGAATGGATAACAAACTTTTTTAGCCTCCCTGAGAATATGGGAAGGGAGGGAGAGAAACATCGATGTGAGAGAGAAACATTGATCAGTTGGTTGCCTCCTACACATGCCCTGACCGGGGACCGAACCCACAACCTAGGCATATATCCTGACCAGTCATTGAACCTGCGACCTTTCAGTTTATGCAACAACATTCCAACCAATGGAGGCACACCTGTCAGGACCTTAAAAATTTATTTTTTAATTGATGGTATATGTACATAATTTTATTTAATTCCAAAAGGATCATACTTAATGGTGGGAAATTTAAAACTTTCTAAAATCACACAAAAGGCAAGATGTCCCCTCTCTCCACTCCCTTTCAACATGACACTGGCATTTCTAGCTCATGCAAAAAGACAATAAAAGGAAATAAAGGGCATGTAGACGTGAAGGAAGAAATAAAACTGCCTTTGTTCACAAATGACATGATTGTTTATGTAGAAAATCAGAAAAAATCAATGAAAAAGCTCCTGGAACTTTAAGTCAGTAGAGCAGGTTTGCAGGATACAAGGTTAATGTTCAACAGTCACTTGTTTTCCTATAAACCAGCAATGAACAAGTGGAATTTGAAATAAAAAACAGAATACCATTTACATAGTCAACTCGAAAATGAAACACTTAGGTGTCAGTCTAACAAAACATGGACGAGGTCTATATGGGGAAAACAACAAAACTCTAAAAAACAAAAATCAAAGAAGAGCTAAATAAATGAAGAGATACATATTCCATGTTTGTAGGTAGGAAGACTGAATACCGTCAAGATTTCAGTTGTTCCCAACTTGACCTACAGGTTCAATACCATCCCAATCAAAATCCCACAAGCCTCATTTTATGGATATTGACAAGGGATTCTAGAGTTGATATGGAGAGGCAGAAGACCCAGAATAGCCAACACAATTTTGGAGAAGAACAAAGTTGGAAGACTTATGCTATTCGACTTCAAGACTGACTCTAAAGCCACAGGAATTGAGATGGTATGGCACTGGTGAATGAATAGATAAACAGATCAATAAAAGAGAAGCTCAAAATAGGCCCACGTAAATATAGTGAACTGATCTTCGACAAAGGAGCAAAGGCAATACAATCGTCTTTTCAACAAATGGTGCTGGAGTAATTGGACATCCATATGCAAAAAAAAAAAAAAGGGACTTCAGACACAGGCCTCACACCATTCACAAAATTAACTCAAAATGGATTGCAGGTCTAAACATAAAACACAAAACTATAAAACAATATAGGAGAAGATCTAGATGATCTCAACTGTGGAGATCACTTTTTGACATAACACCCAAGACACAATCCATGAAAGAAATAACTAATACATTTGGCTCATTAAAATTAAAATGTTCTGTTTTGTAAAAGGAATATCAAGGGGATGAGAAGACAAACCACAGACTTGGAGAATATATTTTCAAAAGACACATTTGTAAAGGACTGTTACCAAAAATATGTGAAAAACTCTTTAAAACTCAACAATAAGAAAAAAACAAACCCCATTAACAAGTGGGTCAAAGACCTTTACAGACATTTCACCAAAGCAGATACAGAGATGGCAAACAAGTATTGGAAGAGATGCTCCACATCATCTGTCATCAGGGAAATGCACATGAAAACAATGAGACCCCAGTACACACCTATGAGAATGGCCAAAGTCCAGAACACTGACAACACCAAATGCTGACAAAGATGTAAAGCACTGGGAACTGTCTCATTCATTCTTAGTGGGAATGCAAAAGAGCACAGACACCTTAGAAAAAAGTTTGGCAGTTTCTTATAAAACATACTTTTACCATACAATCCAGTAATAGCACAACTCAGTATTTACCCAAAGGAGCTGAAAACTTATGTGTACAAACACACACACAGACAAAACTGCACACAGATGTTTAAAGCATATTTATTTATAATTACCCAAACTTGGAAGCAATCAAGATGTCCTTCAGTAGGTGGATAAATAAACAAACTGTGGTACATCCAGACAATGGAGTCATGTTGGTCACTGAAAAGAAATGAACTATCAAGCCGTGAAAAGACAAGGAGGAAGGTTAAATGCATATTGTTAAATAAAAGAAGCTAATCTGTAAAGGCTACATACTGTACGATTCCAACTACATGGAATGGTCCAGCATCCTGGGAAAGGCAAACCATGGAGACAGTAAAAATCAGTGCTTGCCAGGGGTTGGGAGTGGAGGGATAAATGGGCAGAGCAGAGGGTTTAGGGAGGTTAAAATGCCGTTTGATACTATGAAGATAGATACATATCATTATACATTTGTCCAGTCACACGCAATGGACAACACCAAAACTGAACTTTGGGATAAAGTATGGACTTCTCATGAGTATGATGCATCGCTGTAGGTTTATCCATTGTAGCAAACATTCTACTCTGTTGGGGGATGTCCGTGCCTGAAGGCAGGGTATGTATGGAAAATCTCTGTACCTTTCCTTCAATTTTGCTGTGAACCTAAAACTGCTCTTTAAAAAATAAAGTCTTCTACCCTCCTCTTCTTGGCGGGGGTGGGGCATGGGGTCCTGGTCCCTGGAAAGTATGGAGGCAGAGGGAAAGGGCTCCAGCCCCCTTAGCGTCATGTCTTTGGCGCTGACGGTTTCCAGTCCACCAGTTCTATCCTCAAATGCCGGGACACTAGTAAAAAAAATTTTTTTAATAAAATCTTCTTTTAAATTCTGAAAGAACAAAGATGAAAGCGAAAAAGACAAAACTACAGTGACATTGCCCTGGCTGGTATGGCTCAGTGGACTGAGTGCCAGCCTGAGAACCAGAGGGTTACAGGTTCCATTCCCAGTCAGGGCACCTTCCTGGCTTGCAGGCCAGGCCCCCAGTGGGGGGTGCATGAGAGGCAACCACACATTGATGCTTCTCTCTCTCTCTTTCTCTTTCCCTTCCCCTCTCTCTAAAACTAAATAAATTAAATCTTTAAAAAAAAACTACAGTTGCACAGAATAGATCAGTGGTTGCCAGGGCTTAGGAGTGGGAGAAGGAATGAAATATAAAGAAATAGCCCAAGGGAGGTTGGGGGGGATGATAAAACTACTCCAAATCTTAATTATGGTAGTAGTTACACAAACTTTGCATGTGTCAAAATGTATAATTCCATACATCAAAGGAAAAATAAGTAAAGGTTATCATATGATAATTTGAAACATCAAAGAGAAAATTAATACAAAGTAATACATAGTGAAATGTAACTTCTTCCAATTCATGATCCAGCCTCTGACCTCTCCCTCTCCCAAGGTCACCACTTCTGTATCCGTTCACAGATTTATGCATATTACAAAAAAAGTTTGTGTCCATTTAAAAATATTTACAAAAAGTAGAACACTACAAAGACAGTGCTGCCGCTTTCATTTTTCATTGAACAATAGCTCTTGAAGAACTTTTCATCTCTGTGTATTCATATCTGTCTCATCCTTTTAAATGACTGTATACAATTACACTGCATTGCTATTTTCTCGTTTGCTTTGGTTTATTTTTTGTTTGTTTTAACTAGACTCTATTTGATGGATGTTTGCGTTTGTTCCAGACCCCAAAATGGCCACAATCCTTTGCTCCTCCCTGTATTTATGCCGCTTGGCAACACAATTTGAGCTCCTCAGATTGGCTGGCCTGGTGGCTTGCTTTAGCGAATTTAATGCAGCAGAAATGACACCAAGCTGGTTCCAAGACCAGGACACGAGAGGCTATGGACATTTGAATTTGGTTTTGGGGACCCTGATATCAACATGTGAACAAGCCCAGGCTAGTTTGTTGGGTACGAAAGATACACGCCCAGTCATCCCGTTGCCCCGGCAACAGCCAACCGTCCCCCAGCAGGAGAGGTTCCTCGCTTACCTGCAGGTGACCATCGTTGTTCAAGGGAGCCCAGGGGGCACAAAAGAGTCATTCAGCTGATCTGCACACTGAAGAGCAACAATAAATGGTTATTAAAGTGCCCTGGCCAGGTGGCTCAGCTGGTCGGAGCATCATCCCATACACCAAAGGGTTATAGGTTCAATTCCCTGTCAGGACACATACCTAGGGTGTGGTTCGATCCCTAGTCTGGGCATGTTTAGGAGCCAAACAATTGACATTTCTCTCATTAATGTCTCTCTCTCTCTCTCTCTCTCTATATATATATATATATATATATATATATATATATATAATCTTCAATAAACATATCCTTGAGAAAAAAATTTAAAAATAAAAATGTGAGCCCTGGCTGGTGTAGCTCAGTGGATTGGGCGCAGGCCTGCGAACCACACAATTGTGGTTCAATTCCCAGTCAGAGCACATGCCTGGGTTGCAGGCTAGTTCCCAGCAGGGGACTCACGAGAGGCAACCATACCTTGATATTTCCCTCTCTCCTTTCCTTCCCCTCTAAAGATAAATAAATAAAATCTTAAAAAATAAAATAAAATAAAAATGCATGGTTATTAATGCCATTAAGTTTGTTACACAGAACCAGGGAATTGATACATTTGTTGTTTCCTACGTTCTGTCATTATAAACAATGCTGCAATGAACATGTCTTTGATATATGCAGCATATATATCTTTACATGTGTAGGTTAGTATCTCTATACAATAAGTTCTAAGAAGAAATATTGCTGGATCAAAGGGGATGTACTATTTTTTAATATATATTTTATTAATTATGCTATTATGGTTGTCCCAGTCTTTCCCCCTTTGCCTCCCTCCACCTTGTACCACCCATTCCCTCAACAAACCCCCCACCTTAGTTCATGTCCATGGGTCACGCATATAAATTCTTTGGCTTCCCCATTTTCTATACTGTTTTCAACATCCCTATGTCTATTCTGAGCCTACCAATTTGTACTTCTTAATCCATGAACATTTCCTCTCATTCTCACTCTTCCGCCCTCAACAGATAACCCTCCAAATCACCTCCATATCTATGATTCTGCTCTTGTTCTGGTGGTTTGCTTAGTTGGTTTTTTAGATTCAATTGTTGATAGTTGTGAATTTATTGTAATTATAATGTGCATCATTTTGATCTTCTTTTTTTTTAATAAGCCCATTTAACATTTCATAATAATGGCTTGGTGATGATGAACTCGTTTAACTTTACCTTGTCTAGAAAGAACTTTATCTGCCCTTCGATTCTAAATAATAGCTTAGCTGGATAGAGCAATCTAGGTTGTAAATCCTTGCTTTTCATCACTATGAATACTTCTCACCAGTCCCTTCTTATTTGCAAAGTTACTTTTGAGAAATCAGCTGACAGTCTTATGGGAACTCCTTTGTAGGTAGCTCTCTGCTTTTCTCTTGCTGCTTTTAAAAGTTTCTCTTTATCTTTAACCTTTAGCACTTCAATTATGGTGTATTTTGGCGTGGTCCTCTTTGTATCCATCTTGTTTGAGATTCTCTGTTCTTCCTGGATTTGTATGTGTACGTCCTTCGCTAAATTAGGGAACTTTTCTTTCATTATTTTTGAAAAAAGTTTTCAATTTCTTGCTCTTTCTCTTCTCCTGTCATCCCTATGATTCAGATATTAGTATATTTGAAGTTGTCCCAGAGGCTCCTTAGCTTAACCTCATTTTTTTGAATTATTTTTTCTTCTTGCTGATCTAATTGGATGTTTTTTTCCTTCCTTATGTTCCAAATAATTGACTTGATTCTTGGCATCATCCACTCCACTGCTGATTCCCTGTAAATTTTTCTCTTTGTCACTTAGTATAGCCTAGATTTCTGCCTAGGTCTTTTTTATGTTGTTGAAGTACCCAATGAGTTCCTTGAACATCCTGATAAGCTGTGTTTTGAACTCTGCATCTGATAGACTGCTTATCTCCATTTTGTTTAGTTCTTTTTCTGGAGTTTTGTTATGTTCTTTCATTTGGGCCATGTTTCTTTGTCTCCTCATTTTGGCAGCCTCCCTGTGTTTGTTTCTGTGTATATAGCAGAGCTGATTTAATTCCCTGTCTTTGTAGTGTGGCCTAATCTAGAGAACACACCAGTAAATTGGATGGGGCAGAGCCTTAGGTAATCAATCGCCAGGGTGGGGCAGTCCGTGTGAACCAGGCTGATGGAGTCTCTGATACAGTGTCTCCATTCTGCGACCCCATGTTGGGGAAAGCTCAGAAAAGGGACTACGGTCACTGCCTGGCCTCTGGGTTTGTTTTTTTTTCCAAGAGGGAACGGTCCCCTGGTACTTGCCTGGATGCCAGACACTTCAGTTTTTCTCCATGTGCCACTGGTGACCTTCCAGCTGCTACCCTAGTGTTGGAGCCCAGAAGGAATGAATTATCATGAGTCCTAAGTCCATTTTAGGCCTTTAAGAGGAGACACCTGATAATCCTAAAGTTTCTTCCTCTTCCCTAACTCCTGCTGGTTTTTATACACAGAAGTTATGCAGACTTATCTTCCTGGCACTGGAACCCTGGACTTGGAAGTCTGGTCTGGGGTTGGGGTCCTTCTCTCCTGAGGTATCCCTCCTGATTTTTACCCACCACACATAGATGTGGGACCACCTGCTCCATGTCTCTGTGTTTCTGCCCCTGCTACCCTTCTCAAAGAATGTGACTTCTTTAATTCTTTGGTTGTCAGACTTCCATACAGCTCAATTGTTGAATGATTCTGGGGATAGTGGTTTTGTATTTTAGTTGTAGTTTTTGCTGTGGTTGTGTGAGGAGGCGAGCCATGTTTACCTACACCTTCATCTTGACCGGAAGTCCAGGATGTACTATTTTGATAGATATTGCCAACCATCTTCCATACAGCTCATACCAATTTATAGTCTCACAAGCAATACATCAGGGTGTCTAGTTCCTCACACCATTCCTTTTCCAAAACCAAAAATCAAATTTTTGGGTTTTTGCCACTCTCACAAGTGAGAAATAATATCTCAATCCTCCCAACTGAGCACCAAGTTCTTTCTTTAATTCTCAGACCAGTGCTCAATCCACGGAGCCACACCAACCAGCACTGGACTTTTCTTGAAGGAAGGGTTAGTGCGTCCTCTGCATGCATATTTGCCTTCATCAATAATTCCATCCTCTTCCTAAATAGTACTAGGATTTTAACATCCTAACTCCTATAATCTCTGCCCATCCTTTATCAGGGTGTTTAGTACCTACCTCTTGTTACACCCTCTAAATTAATTATCATCACTATTGCTTTATATAATCAAGGCTTCTTATGAATTTTCTGCATGTTTACTAATTTCTTTGTTCATAATTTCTTCTTGCACCTTAATTATTTCTTATATATATTTTTATCATACTCTTTCTTAAGTATATCTTCTAATTGTTTTAGTGAGTGTATATTAGCATCTTTCAGTCTTTGTTTGGAAAGTTTTTATTTTGCCCTATTTTTGAATGATAGTTTACCAGGTATAAAATGCTTACCAGCATTTCAAAGTTTTACTATGTGATTTTCAGACTTCTATTACTACTGTTGAGAAATCTCGTAATAGTCTAATTGCTAGAGGAGTTTTGTATATATGCATGGATTGCTCTCTTGCTTTTAAGATTTGCTTTTAGTCTCTGATGTTCTGTATTTTTACCACATTTTGTCTAGTTGTGGATTTAGTTTAATTTATTCTGCCTGAAATCCATGTGATTTGAGAATCTATGATTTATCTCTCATCAACTCTGAAAAATTATTAGGCACTTCCCCTTTAAATTTTGA